GGGGGCTGAGACAGGAGAATCGTTTGAACCCAGGAGGCAGAGTCCAGCCTGGGTCACAGAGCGAGACTCCATCTCAAAAAAAAAAAAAAGGTGGGTATAGATGTGAGCGCAGCTCTGCCTCTGAGCTGCTACTCTGGGCACACCACCTGGGGGTAGCCCTGCTCTGCAGGGCGCAGGACCTCAGCTGCTGCTGTGCCATGCCACTTCTGTCAAAGTTGTACCGCCAGTGGCTCGTCCTTGAATTCTTTCCTGGGGGAAACCAAGAGCCCTCGCAGGCTAAGTCTCAATGTGGGGGTTCCCCTGTCCCGCATCACCAGGGCTATGAGGGGAAGAGGCTGCTTCATGCAGCATCTCTTAGGGTGGCAGGCAGCCTCGTAGAGGGGCTGGCTGGTCACATTTGGAGATGGGCATGAACCTGGGGAGTGTCCCGAAGATCCCTCTATCCCATCGTGACATGATATCCTGAAATCACATTAGCATGAGTTTTCTCTGTTAACCCCCAATTAGTTTGAGGGTTCAGCCAAGCCACAGAGCCAAACACTTGGTGTGGTGAAAGTGCTGTGTGAGTAAGCCTTGAGCTGGTGCTGGCTCAGGCCAGCTCGGTTGCTTCTCCCCTCAGTGAAGTAAGTGGGCCTCTTCTTGCAAGAAAAAGAGACTTGGGGTGGGGCGTGGTGGCTCATGCCTGTAATCCCAGCACTTTGGGAGGCCGAGGCAGGTGGATCACTTGAGATCAGGAGTTCGAGACCAGCCTGGCCAACATGGTGAAACCCTGTCTCTACTAAAAATACAAAAAAATAGCTCAGTGTGGTGGCGGGTGCCTGTAATCCCAGCTACTTGGGAGGCTGAGATAGGAAAATCACTTGAACTCAGGAGGCGGAGGCTGCAGTGAGCGGAGATCCTGCCACTGCACTCCAGCTTGGGCCTCAAGAGGAAACTCCGTCTCAAGAGCTACAACAACAACAAAAGAAAAAAGAAAGAAAAGAAAAAAGGAAAGAAAGAAAGAAGGAAAGAAGGGAGGGAGGGGAAGGGAGGGGAAGGAAGGAAGGAGGGAGGGAGGGAAGGAAGGAAGGAAGGAAGGAAGGAAGGAAGGAAGGAAGGAAAGAGACTTGTGGCGAAGCAGATCTGTCCCCAAGGCCTTTGCTAGGAGTGAGTTTACTGTCTTGGACCCTCCCTGAGTGCTCCGCTTGGGAGAAGGGCAGGGAAATGAGAAAGGAACATTGCTGAGATGATGCCCAGAGATAATGCCAGTCCCTTGCCGTTCTGATAGAGGCTGCCAGGAGTGTGTTCATTTCTTTGCAGTTCGAGAACTAGGCCTGACACATCTCAATTCTGTCCTCCTGGGTTAGTCCTTCCAGGAGGGTGGTGAAAGGGACATCCGTCTCCTGCTAAGTGCCTTTCTGGGTGCAGGTATTCTATAGCCCACAGAGCTCTGTAGTCAGGGCCAAGGTGTGCAGGCGGGCAGGGGCAGGATGACACCACCAGACAGAAGACAGCAGCAGGATGCAGGGGTCCTAGGGGCAAGGCCGTGTGGGTCCCCAGAACTGTGGGTACCCTGGGATGCACGGGCTTTAGAATTCCATCTGGAAAGGCCTGGGGCTCCGTTTCCTTGCCTCTGCCTCCCTTCTTCATTGTTTTTGGCCAGGTTTTGATTTTTGGAAGCCATTTCCAGCCCATTTAAAGACCAAATGTTCTGGAGACGGTGATTCGACATATTTGGAAATGTTTCCAATTCACAGCTCATTTCCTGATGGAAAGGCCTGACTCTGTGGTTCAGAGGTGCTGGATGGTCTGTCTGTTCTAGAACTCTCGGGGCGCATCTCAGGATTCCATAGTAACCCATCCCAAGGAAAGTCTCACCTCTCTCTCTCTCTTTTGTGTGATGGAGTCCCGCTCTGTCATGCAGGCTGGAGCACAGTGGTGCAATCTCAGCTTACTGCAACCTCCGCCTCCCGGGTTCAAGCAGTTCTCCTGCCTCAGCCTCCCCAGTAGCACCTGCCACCATGCCTGGCTAATTTTTGTATTTTTAGTAGATATGGGGTTTCACCGTGTTAGCCAGTGTGGTCTCGATCTCCCTGTGATCTGCCTGCCTTGGCCTCTCAACATGCTGGGATTAAAGGTGCGAGCCACCACGCCTGGCCCCGTTTTCCCTTTTATGGATCATGCTTTTGGTGGCAATTTTAAGATCTCTTTGTCTAGCCAAAGATCCTGAAGATCTTCTGTTTTGTTTATTTATTTTTTTCTTTTTTTGAGACAGAGTCTCACCCTGTCATCCAGGCGGGGATTACAGGCATGAGCCACCGCACCCGGCTCACCTCTCTTTTTGGAAACACACTGAGGCTTTCCAGTAGAATTGAAGGAAGGGCCCAGGCTGTGAAGTCTCCCACCGTTTCAGGACCTTCCCCCCACCCCCCACCACCTGGTCATTGGCTGAGGTGGAATTCACGTTTGTATTGGGTAGGTGGGATCCCGCCAGTCCTCGGTCAGGAAGACAAGACTCCCTGTCCAGCTCAGGCTCTGGTTTGAGCTGTAGCTATGGGCAATGATGTTGAACTCTTTTCCAGTCTTTTCCTGTCTGCAAACTAGGACTGTCTTTAAGCTGTTATTTACATTGCAGGGTTTAAGTATCCAGTTGATTAAGAATGATGCCTTGGGTTAGGTAATGCTGCATGATTTACACACCACTGACTGCGATATGTTCATTTAGTCCTCATCGTACATAAGCTGTTATCTTTTTTATGTTTTTAAAAATGAGATTTACACACATAAGGAAAATATATTTTTAAAATACAAGGTTTTGTGTTGTGTTCTGAGATGGAATCTCGCTCTTGTTTTCCAAGCTGGAGTGCAGTGGTGCAGTCTCGGCTCACGGCAACCTCCGCCTCTCAGGTTCAAGCGATTCTCCTCAGCCTCCGGAGTAGCTGGGATTACCTGCCAACATGCCCGGCTAATTGTTTGTATTTTTAGTAGAGATGGGTTTTTTGCCATGTTAGCCAGGCTGGTCTTGAACTCCTGACCTCAGGGGATCCTCCTGCCTCAGCCTCCCAAAGTGCTGGGTTTACAGGCATGAGCCACTGAGCCGG